GGGGAGGGGGGAGGCCCGGCCAATGAGGATGCGGCCCGCCGGGTGTGATTCAACCGAGATTCATTTCAAAGGACGCGCTCACACGTATACTTTCTCTCTCCGTCTCTCTCTTTCTTACACGCGCGCGCACACACACAAACACACACACTCACACACACTCAAACAATCACTCACACAAACACACTATCCCTTTCCTTCTCGCTTACAGAATTGGCTAATCTGTGATTTTTCAGCTGTTTTTTTCCACACACACAGACATTCACATAATGTATTTATTTATTGTTAGAGATTGCACACAATCGTTGAGTCGATTTGTTTCTTTCCTCGCGTTGCAGCCTCAGAAGAGTAACTTACTTTACTCTGAACGTTTCAGGATTTAATCGGGTTTGCCCAACCCCTCCGCCCGCTGCTAGCCGCAAAACTGCAGCTCTTTCATACGATGTATCAGTAAAGAATGTTTTGTTTTCACGGGGCTCGTATTTTGCACCAGAAAAGTTATATGGCTGCATTGAAATGGTTCGGATTGTCGAGGGTAAGCTCCGCCTCATATTCTCAAGCGTTTGGCCGGGCGCTCACTCGTGGTACACGGGGCGTAAGTGACCCCATTCGACGCTCATCTATCACTCTGCAAACACATTCCTCATTAAAAGCGGATTGCGGTATATGTGCGAGGGCTTCCCTTACCTCCGCCAACCCACCCGTCCCCGCCCCGCCCCGCCCCGCCTCGCCCCGGTCCAGAGGGATCAGCGCCGACACCGCGTGAAGGTGCTGGCGCGAGGCTGGAGTGGTTGGGGCTGAGCCGCTGGAGGAGGAGGGAGGGAGGAGACCGAAATGGGGAATGCCGAATATCGCCGCAAAGCGCCTCGCCGATCGTATGCAAATAGAACGACAGAAACAGAAAAATGCTATAACAAAAAAAAAAAAGTTGTAGCAAAGTTTACTTGGTTACATTTTTAACACAATGTGTCACCTGCATACCATAGGGAGTGGTGTCATACTAATAAACGCGAATAATAAGAGCAGAGACCACACAACCCGCAAAAACTGAGCACTTGGATCAAGTAATCTGAGTACATTTTAAATTAATTTTATCAAGAAGACACGTGTGCAATCCAAACTCAGATTTTTGGATATCCGACCGCACGGTAAAAAGAACATCTTGGAATTCAAGTAGATTCCTTGAAAACTGTCTTGAAAACGAAGTAGATCGCTTGAAATCCAAGATGTCATTTTTACCGTGCGGAATGTTGAAATGTTACTAAAACGCAATCGTCTCTGACTTATTTCCGGTGTACGAGTAGGTGGCGGGGCAGACGGGATGGCAGTCTCACAGTCTTCGAAGAATATGTGGCCCCTAACCGGGGAATCGCGGCGGAAACGGAATTAGACGGGGCGGCGCGTGGAGCGATGACGGAAAAGGTGAATAAGATTTTGGTGATTTGCTGACAGACCTGCGGTAGTCCCCTTTAAGCGTGTGAATGTTTTAGTTTATGCACAAAGGCATAAACACCTGCTTATTATTAGGGAGCAGCACACCCAGAAAATCCACGTATGAGTTTTATAACGTAAAATGTTTGACTGTGTACTAGTCACATGTATGTGGTTTTGGCCAAGTTCATTCTGTCGTGTTCCTAGTAATGACTGTATTCTGATAAGTGAAATGTATTTGAAGGGATCTCATTGTAAAGTGCTAGAACAGAAATGTCACCTAATTTTTTTTAGTCGTAATAAAATGTGCTGACTGAGAGCAGATCCCCAGCCCCCAAAGCCGACATCCCGGCAGCCTCGGGGCCCCTACCCCCGACACGCCCTGCACTCAGCCACCGCTGTCGGTCGCTCAGGTGAAAACAAAAGGGGAAGGGCAAACACGGCATTATCTCGATGCGTCCACCCAATTAATGAGAGGTGATTTAGACTATCTGGCTATATCGGCCGCCCTCCTACGCGCGTCAGCCGGGCGGCGCAACGCGGCCGGACACGGTTATGAATAACGACCCATCAGCAAAAGCCGCGGAGAATTTAACTTGTGAAACTACTACTAAATAAGCAACCAAAACCCAACAAAAATAAAATAAAAACAACTTTGATACTTGTGCAATATTGTGAAATTACAAGAGTTTTCTCTGTCACTTTGAGTAACATACCAGGTGGCTGATTAACCCCGCGCACTTCTGTAGTTAGACTGTACCGCACGCAGGAGTGCGGGCGGGCGGGCTTGCGTATCGCCCCTGTCCACGGCGCCTTACGGGCCGGGCGAGTAGGCAACCCACCCGCACTTGTGCGTGCGGCACAGTCTAACTACAGAAATGCGCGGGGTTAATGAGCCACCTGGTATATGCTTTGTACGTGAAAGTTGAAAAACGCTCAGAGGAGGTCAACCCTCGCGAGTACTCAAATTTGCAGGTGCAAGAATTCGGCAAGCTGCTTGCCAGTTCAAAACACACGTCAAATCGTCAAATTCGCGAGTTTAACATTTTATTTTCATTTTGTCGCAAATTTTTGTTTGTGTTAAATAAACGAACAATTTTCCTTTGTAGGGTGATTATCAAAAAAACCGTGCAGTTTCGTTTCAAAAATAGAATTATTTCATTATTTTTTTGGCTTAATTTTTGGGGTTGGATATTGTTCTTTAGTACCACAAGGTTACATTTCTAGAGTTGTCCCACAGTCTGACCACGTACAGAGGTTTAACAGCGATTCATGCCAAAAAGAGGCATCGGAGTTTAGTCCAATCGTACAGTTCTCCCGTAGACGTGCAAAATACAGCTCCATGATCGATCCAGACTCTTTTGATATCATTTTTTACACGACTGTTCAAGCAGCATTGTAATAGATCTTGCGGAACTGGTCCATAGCCCCAGTAGGTTAAGCAAATCTATGAGGGTGTTTGACGTGTTGCCTAAGTGTCGGGCATAGGCCCGCTCTACCACTGGCAATACCACGACTCCAAGACACCGGAGCGACCGACGGCCGAGACGTGGGTGGAATAATTAGTGATAGTAACAGATAATGGCATCGGAGTTTAGTTCTGAAGAAAGCCTAGAACAGCCCTTTTGCCCGGACAGGGCACCCCAAACTTATTACGACCGGGCAGTACGTTAATAGTCCTCTATTTTCAAAAGGGCATATTCGGGATTTTCGATTCTGCATTACAGAATGGAAACTAGAGCAGGAACGGAGTTTATTCGCAAAAATATTCGCACAAGAAAACGATGTTTCTTCCCGCCTCTTCACAAGCTGATCCCGTTTCGCGCCAACTTCTCGTTCGGAAAAAGTTGAGTTCTTGTCGTACTCTCGTGATGCAGTGCTACCAACCCTTCAGCTGGACCCGTCTTGGCTGTGGAGTGGTGGCTGATAAACTCCGAAGCCCGAACCTCAAAACCCGTGGAAGGACTTTGAGCTCCTGTAGCTCTGCGTGTACACCCGCTAAAAAACCAAGACTAAGGGTGAAAGTACCTTTGAATGTGGACTGTAGAACTAGGGAGGACATTTGAGTTTCCAAGGTTTCCATATTCCCAAAATAGGCTGCTTTTCAAACCAACAGGGAAGTGTGGAAAGCATCGGAGTTTAGTTTTAACCCCTTTAGATCGATCCTGCTCCTACCAGTGATAAAATTGTACGATATTCTTGTCGGCCCCTAGTAGAGCTCCAAAAAAGACGTCATACTAGACCGAAGTGGTGGCTCCAGCACAATGGAGACGAACATGAGATGCTTTGGAACGAAACTGTACGGTTTTTTTGATAATCACCCTGTACCTAAATTCAAAATTATAATGCAAACATGCTCACACATTTTTTGACAGTGCTTATTTTTGTTAGACGCAATATTGTAGGCGGCCTCACTTACACCACTCACAGTATAAATGTAACAAACACGCACGGACTACTATATGTACCTACCTGTCAAGCCGTACGCCGACGCTCTCCCATTCTTGTGATTATTATTTTACTCTCCATTTTCGCAGAACGTCCGCTCCGCCCGTTCAGGTCAGACTGCTCGAGGATGATGCGACGATGAGGATGCTGGCTGATGCTCGAGGGGGTCGATCTTTTCGACGAATCTTCTGCCTGAGTGTGTCGCGCCGTGAAGCTTTTAGAGAGGCTGGGATAGACCCTCTCTCGCTCTGCCGCCGCCGGCCAATGCAACAACGCACGGCTCACGCCAATCGACAAAAAAAAAAAAATACTGGATGAAGGGAAGAAAACTTTTTCGTGTCCCTTCGTGCCTTTGAAAGGTGTTTCTTGTAGCAAGCGCGTGCAAGGTGCAGGTGAGTTCAGCACTACCCACGCAAATTTAGAAAAACAGTTTTTTTGTTAATTTTAGGTGCAGTTTAAATAGCGTACAGTTTAATTTAATTAATGATTGTTTACGCTATTGTTCATGTATCTAGTGTACTGAGGAAATTTTCTCCTTTGAAAAATTTACCGCTGGTGTTAACAACCAACAACAACAAAAATCTTAAGCTATGTAATACGTAGAAGAGGAACCACCAGGAACCACCGCATTGGACGCGTGTAAAAAAATATTCACACACTTGCAGGTGAGCGAATAGAGATTCGTACACTTAAAGGTAGCCATTTACTCGCCGCCAAGTGTGTGAAAGGTCATTCACACGTCTGCAGGTGTGTGAATGTTTTCGCCCACCTGTAGGTGTGCGACGATTGCACACTCGGATTTCTAATGTACTTTAGCAAACATTTTGCTGAACCAGCAACACGCCCCACTATTATTTTGCATGCATGAAAGCATGCATGAATGTGCGTCGCGCGGGGGGGACTCGACTCGGGGCAGCGGCAGGAGCACGAGGGCGTCGGGCCGGGGCGCCCAGGCGGACTTTCCGAAGTGGAATCAGCTTACAATTAGCGCCCTCGCACTACCAGGGCACTGCCGGGGCGCTGTCGGGGCAGGTGGACACGCGCGACGGGCCGCCCCGCATCGAAGCGCCGTGTACGCCCCGCCCCGCCACGACGCGCGCACCGCATCGGACCGGACGACCCGAGCTCCACATTCTATTTTCACTCCCGGAGAAGAGAAAACGGAACGCGGGGTTTACGCCGCGCGTCGCGCGACCCATCCGCAAAAGGGTGTGGCCCAGGTGGGCCGCATCTGAGGGGCGGCACAACTGCGAGAGAGATATGGAAATGCAAACTATTTCCGACAAATGAGCGGCCATTACGAAGAGACTGCGCATCGCGAATGGCCTTGTTGTGTAAGCCGCCGCTGTCAGCCACTGACGCCGCTCTGGCCTGCTGAGGGATAAATTGGCAATTATTTGTTATCGGAGGAGGGTTTTAGTGAGTCGGGGAGCCTTATCACGGCAACGATAGGTCGATAGCGCCGTGAGCACCGCGTCAGCGCGCGGCGCGGCGGCGTCCAACTCTTCCGTTTGCTCGCTCGCCACCTCACCACCCGGTGCCTCATGCACCCGTTTGGAGAGCAGGGGGGCCAACAGAGACAACGGGGTGGTATAGGGGGCAAGGGGACGGGAGGGTAGAGGGAGGG